TGCAGTCCCTCTTCGGCAGGGAATGTTGATCACTTTAAACCTGTCATGAAAATCCATTAGCCATTCTTGGGCGGCTTAAAACTGTAGAACCTTCCTTCCTCGGGTCGCAAATCAAAGTTCGGACGATGAATAGTTCCTTACTCGAACTATTTTGCTTTCGGTCCGAACATTTTGAGCAGCTGATTTCCTCGACCTCCAGGGAAACCGAACCGAGCTACAACATCGACGAAAACATTAACAACTTCTTGCTTTCTTACTAGGCTCTTGTAAACATATCCAACCCGGCTTCAAGAAGCAAATGAGATCAAACTTCTATAATTATAAAAGGGCTACCCTTTTCTTAGAGACTCGTAACACTTTTTTAAGAGAAGGATACAATTTACAAATAGATATCCAATATAACACGATATGGGAATTAAGGCGCATTGAGAACTCAAAATATGTATGTTTGTAGGAAGATGTCAGTTCTGGTGAATCCCTACATATGATTATTTGTGGTAATAGTAAGCACAGGTAGCTGATGAGGTGTCGAGGAAAGTTAGGTATTTTTCCAGCAAGATCGTATAACAGTAGATGAAAAAAGTGAGCACTGCCAAGGAGGTCGAAAATCTCTTAGTTAAAATGTCTTGTTTTATTTAGAGGTTATAGAGAGTAGAGGTTGATTTACGCGGAACTCTTTTTAGGAATCTGTCTTAACAAACGCGATGACTGCAATTGGTTGGTCATAGTTGACAGTCTATCACCTGGGTAGCCAATCTCGAGAGGAGCCTTCTCGATGTACTATAAAAACTCAACTAAGCTAGAACTTTCAGCATATACATGAGAACTCCATGAACTAATAATACTGGCATAAATGTATATTTTTAAACTGCTTACAGATTGTCGAACCCACACGTTGTTTGCGATCACTCGAATTCATCGGTTGGGATGTGCATAAAGCGATCAAAATCATTAAACTTCAAAATATTTTGCCTGCAAAGGAACTGAGTTTTGCCGAATCTTTGGAGGCGTTGCAAGAATACCAATGGGATTTACATACCACCGCGCTCAAGTTGAGAGGTTTCAAGCGCTAATGCAAGCGGCTACAAAAAGAATTAAACGGCAAGCGCAACGAAATTTTTTTTTTTTGTGTTTTTTTGTTTTTTTTTTTTTTTTTTGAATACTATTTCAAATTTTGGGAATATTATAAATTGATTGTGATTAAAATTTTGCTCGAAAACAAACTATTATTACGCTCACAAACTTTTTTTGTAACAACTGTAAAAGTAATATAAAAAAAATACCTTTAGTTTTAAGAAAAAAAAATGTGGAAAATCGGTTAAGAATATTAGAGCAAAAAAAAAAAGTTAATCACTATGCAAGCACATACATGTCTACATACGTATATGTCTGTGTCTGTCATGCAGCATTGTGTTTTGCAAAGCTCGTAGTAAAAAATGAAATAAAACTCATAAACAAAAGCCAGTCAGTGCCTTTATGGAATGCGGCGACGCTGAATCATCTCAGATGACAGCCAGGCAGAGCAAAAAAAAAAAAAAAACATGACAAAAAGAAAAAAATGATTTAACAAAATCTCATAGTGTGCCTTGGAATATACGCAATTTAAATACATACATATTTACATTCATCATATTACATTCATACATATTTACGCCATTGTACCACAACTCGACTGCAAGTGTGTATCTCATCAAAAGTACTTATTGCATTCGTTTGTATTGCATTTTACTATATATACATCTCTATATATAGCTATATACATAAATATATATACTCTATGTAATGACGACACTGACGACTTTATCTTTATGTTAAAATTTAACTATATGTATATTTAACGTTAACCATAGATATACAAAAGTAATAATATACTCGTACATACATACATACGTGTACATACATATGTATGTTTTATTTAAAAAATATACTTGCTTTGCAATTCCATTTCATATCTTTGTTTATCGTACAGTTCTTTTAAGTGCAAAACTTATATTTACAAAATCCTACATTCTTATATAAAACATTTTACATACATAAATGTATGTAATTTATGCGTTCAATAAAATATAAACATACATATTTACCATTATCTCACACTTTAAACAATATCTATTATTATTTAATATTAATATAAAATTCCGAAAAACAAAATGTTTCGAATACTCTGCAATTGTAATACAAACATATATACAAGTTATACATACATATATACTATATTTAAAAAATAAACAAAAAGATTTACATTTATATACATATATGTACTAAGTATATTAGCATTTACAATATACACATATACACACCTATAGTAAATACATATACATACATACATATAAGAGTGGTATATACATATAATATATTGGCTTGTCTGATGTCTTGCGATATTTTCAAATTTTATCTACGAAAATTGTAATCTAACCTTTTAAAATATATAACAAAATATTAAAAAAAAAATTAAAATTAAAATAAAACAAACATTCAATAACTCAAACTGAATTATTTGCATTTTTTTGAAATTGAAATGTATGTCTGGAGAAGCGCTCCGATTTCCAAGGAACCGACCAAACTGGACCCCCGCCGCAAATAATTAGAAGTATTTCTATATTTCACTGAGACATATTCTTTTGTTTCGAAGAGAGATGCAGCAGCGGCTAGCTATAGCTACTTCTTCAACCCCGCCGAAGAGCGTGCAGAAAAAATTAGTCTGTGTCGTGAGGTTTCATCTAAGGAGAGATGCACGAAATAAGCTTCCTCGACGAGTTCGGATCAGTGGTAGAGGGGTGTTAGATGTATAGTAGGCAGGCATAGAGGTAGCTATTGCTTTGTGGGTACTCATTACATGCGTTATACATATATGTTAATTATTTCGGAGACAAGTGTGGTTAGGTAGGAGTTGAATCCACTACAACTCACGAGACAGATCGAGTTCTACGTAGAGTTTTCAGATGTGTTGATGAGGGACTTGCTTTGTGTATGGCGACCTGACCGTAATTCTTCATGTCCAGTGGTTCTATTGTTGTTGTGAAGTAGTTAAAAGTATTAGACTATGTTGTCGTGGTCCTTAACTTTGAGCCTTTATGCTTCACTGTAAAAGTAGTGCATGTGGCATATCAGGTGTTTGGCATCTAATGACCGGCCGGCCGTTTGCCTTGAAATCTTTATGCTATTGTTGTAACTACAAAATTATACCCCAAATTGGTTTTAGTGGCATATTGTGGGAGTAACAATTTTTGGCCGTATAAACATCCGGATTGATCCGGTGTAAAAACCTGAATCTCATCAGAACTATTTGCTCATTCAAGAGACATCGCTTACCGCGGATAAGTTCTTGAACCCCTAACCCGCAGGGGTTATTTTGTTGTGGTTTTGCATTTTGGTGGTAATTAAAACCTTTACCGCGATATTCGAAGGATCATAGACCATCCCTTCAGTTTCCTTAGTAGCGTCTCATGACTTTATCAAAGGCTTTTTGTGTGTGTAGATTCGATTTTTATTGAGGCCGTGTACTATGTTGCTGTTAATCGCGTTAAAAGCGATTGTGGTACCGTACACTTTGCGTAAGCCAAGCTGATGTATTGCTGGGCTCAAGTCGTGTACGAACGCAACACGAAAGCCTTCAGTTATATAGATATAAGTTAATATGAAGCTCATTTGTAGGCAGGTTTCCCTGATTTTAGCAACGCTACCGTTTAACTCTACTTCACATGTCGGCTATTAGGGTGTGCAGAAACAGATTAGGTACTTTGGTGAGAAATTCTGCTCCTGCAGAACGCAAATATTTTACCATGAGCTTTCTTATTCCACCGGAGTCCATGGATTTGGAAGATTTTGATTTACCGATGACCCTCTGAACTTTCTCCTATTCCAAAATTAATTTAATAGTACCGAAATATAGGAATAAAGCCTTGGCCTATTCTAACTTTTCTGTCGCGAACTCCTAAAATGCGCACAATCTATGCACTTACTTTTGAGTATTGATCACAGTGTTTGGTGGGCATAACAAACCAACCACGCCAATTATTGGACAGAAGTGTAATAAATAAAATCTTTTCTTCTATTTCATAGCGCGTCCTTCCTTTTCTTCGCTGTTTGGTACCAGAAAGAGTCACCAGGTGAAGCCATATCACTTTCCACGTGATCCTTTCAAAGAAGTGGTGGTATTCCTTTTCCTCTGCTTCAACCATCTGGTCCTGCATTAAATACTTTCGAAGCTGGAGTGCTTTCATCTTTCGGACGACATGACCTAGCCAGGCGCAGCCGCTGTCCCCATTTTCGTTAAACTATGCCAATATCGAGGTAAAACTCGTTTTACTCAACGTTCCTTCATCCTCAAAATTTTCCCCTCCAAAACTCCTAGTGTCGACTCATCGAATGTCACAAATCACATCTCGGGCTACACTGTCTAGGGGGTCGGCAGGTAGCAAACAAAGAAAGAAAGTCTTAACCGAAACAAACTGACAATAAATTCAGATCAATCTAGGGCTTCGCTTTCTTTAACTAGGTCTAAGTAGAGAATATACTGAACAGTCCCGCCAGTCCTTATAGTACTTTTTAGCAGTCACCGGAACAATTGAGTCTGACTTTATAATTTAACCGAAAATTTCCCGAAAAACCGTCTGGTACGTGCCTTCATCTCTTAACTACTCAGTTAAGGAATGGACGAGTGGGTACCGCAATCTGATGCTAAGTATCGGATAAGGTTTAATTCAAGCCTTGCTCTGCTTAAACACTTGAGATTTCGATTCTATCGAGAGACATCATTTTCCTGAAATTTCTTATTCAATTAGTCGGTCAGTCAACCCTGCATAATGTTTTCTAATAAAAGGTCACCCTACAATATTTTCATATCCACTTTAGGAATTCAAAAACAGCAAAAAAAAAAATAAAAAAATTGAGATTAATATTTTTCATAAAACTCTTGAAAATTACTTTGAATTGAAACTAAAAAGAAATACATATATCCACATATATTTCAATAATTTATACACCATAATAACCGAAAAATGAAGAAGCACAAATCGAAAAGTATCTACACCTCACGCAGCACATACTCCGATCGCGCCAAGAGGGAAAATGAGTCTTTTCGTGAGGTGATTGTGCCAATACAGGAAATTGAGACTGCACTGCTGCTGCTCAACTCAACCGAGGACTCGGTGCTGTTAACCGTGTTCAAGAACATCACTGAGTATGCGCGCAAACAGGAAGAGAATGTCGAAGAGTTGAAAAGATTGAAGTTACTCGATAAGCTGTTGGAGAAGAAATTATATATGACTACTGAAGCGGTAATGATACGAAGATTCGCTATGTATTTGGCTTGCACCATAGTCGAGAGCATGAATATATTGCAGGATGTCGAGCTAGAGAAGACCATATATATTTTGGATACCTGCTTGGAGGTTTATCTGCACGAGGTAGACGATTTTAGTTTGGAATATTTGACTGTAATCATCAATAAGTGTCTGGACGATCCGCGCGTAGCAAACGAGATGCTGCAAAAGGCCGACTTCTTGGAGAAGTTCTTTATGTTAGTGGCCAGCACCGAGAATCCCGATATTTTGTGGCAATCCTTCGACGCCGTACACAAAATGCTGCTGTTACTGGATGCTGAAAAAATGCTTGCATTCAGCACGATGCCGCTATTTCCCATAGATCGTGTGGTCTGTGATCTCACCAATGAATTTGTGGATATACGTAGTGCTGCATTGAAGATTATTAAGGATCTGGTTGTGGACACGAGTGAAAAATCGACGTTTGCCGACTTGAGTCGTTGTGTCTATACATTGCAGCAATTGACGAATCTTTTCTGTGATTTTGCCACAACCGACCATGGCAGTGAAGCGATCGAGGCACTAGCGACAGCTATGCGTACTGAGAAAATGACGCAACTCTTCTTCGAACACAATCTCTTCGAGCGCATTATGCAGAATGTAAATGCGAACTTGCTCGCCTATGAGGTCTCTGTGAAATGCAAGGTGATATGGATCTTTGCCGAGAATGCCAAGTATGAATTATACCTGCAACGGCTTTACGATGCGAGCGTAACAGATTTGTTCTTGGATTGTTTGCTGAAAGGTGATCCATATGGTCCAGCGCCGTATGTCGTAGCCGGTTTGAATCATATGATGAAGCACGCGGGTGCAGCCAATCGGATATTGCAGTTCTATGAGGCTGGCGTTATAGAGCGTCTAGCATGTAAGCTTTACTTTGGCTTGAGTTTGTTTTCATATAATAACCTCTTTCCTCTCTTGTGTTGCTGGTTCTCTTTTAGACATTATATCGCAACCAGCCATCGATATACGCACGCGCGAACAGTCGGCCGAGTTGTTAAACAATCTTTTGCGTTTTGCATTCCACGATACCGCGCACCAATTGTTGGCACTGCAGATTGCAAACATTATGGGTCGCATATTGGGCCAGCAGCAACAAGATCTTTCGATTGATTTCATCTTATCACTACTCAATATCGTCGAACAGCTGGCGCAGAACGAAGACTATCGTGAGTTAATTGGGGAATCCACTTTGCTCTCAACGAATATTGCGCTGCTGCTCAAGGTGGGAGCCCACTATCTTCTTTTTCATTACACCCTCCCTCTCTTACACTGACTTTACCTGAAATGTTTCATAGAACTCCTTCGCTACCGCGATTTTGGTGAACAACATCTTCCGCTGTCTCTGCACGTTAGTGGATGAGGCGCTCGTACGCACGGTTCTGCTTTCACATTACATTGCGCCGTCGATGAAGCGCGGTCTTAAGTCGCTCTCGAATCTGGTAAAGACCTCTGTGACGAATTTCATTATGCAAACCACACGTTTTCCCGAGATGGTACACGAGTATATCGAATCAGGCGTTTTAGAGGTGTAAGTAACTAAGCCAAGAAAAATTTCGCCTCAATCTCTACTCTTCTCTTTAGTCTTATTCTAAACCAACGACTGGCGATGTGCGTATCCACTTGGGGTCCCGCCATCGAGGCGATACTCTCCAAATGTCCCAGTCTCAAGTTTTGTATACGCAATCATCTGGGCTTTACAGATAGCACAGCGGGCAATGATTTCCTTGTCTCCAAAAAGAAATTCGACGATTTTCGCATTTTCCAAAATATACTGAAAGAGGATGTGTCACCATTGCATCCGATTTTGGTTGTCAACTTCGAACGTGCGGTCTCACCACCCGAGCTGGTCATAGAAGTGCCAATAGAGTGCTTCCCGATGAATGAGCGTCAGGGTATTGCAGGTAGCTGGTGTTACTGCCGCAAGCCTGGTGATAGTGATTTGCCACGTATACTGGATCTGTTGAATAGGGAACTAGAAGTGAGTATTAAACTTCTAGAGAAGCGCCTTCAAATCTTACTAATCTCAAAACTCTTGTAGAAATACGGTTTACTGCAAAACCCGGAAAGAATGAGCCGTTGCATTGACTTTGATAATTTGGCGAAACGCGCTAAGGTCATTGCCGACATAGTGGAAGCTGCACTTTATAGCGATCTCAAGCGCTTGGATCTCAACACTAACGAAGAGTGCTCTAATCACACCGTCAAATGCCATCTATACGATCTGGCTAGATCTTTGCATTGTAATTTTATACCCATTGGTATGGTACGCTCGGGTTGTCAGTTTGAGCGCGCGATTCTATTTAAAGCCCTAGCCGATCAAATTGGTTTGCCTTGTACCCTGCAGCGTGCTGTTGATGGACATTTGCTATTCAATGAAATGCCATTGCCTGTGGAGATTGAGCATGATCCGCACTGTGATAAGAAGACAATGAAATTCATGCCCTGGCGTATGTTGCGTCCCACACACATTGTGGATTTGATGTTCAACGTAGGCGAGCTGTATCCCATACAGAGTCGACAGGCATTGCAGTATTTGCGGTTGTACTGAGAGTCGCTGGTTGAAAAATATAAAGCGCAGAGTTTTTTTCAGGATTTTCTGCACAGAAAGAAACATTGAAATAATATATTTAATACAAGATTTTTTAAATTACAATAATTCATATGCTAGTTTAAATGATGCTCGGAATGGGAAGCCATGCATTCTTTATATAGACAAAAACAAACATTTTACTGGGTGATTAACGCCACTTTTTGGAGTCTCGTACAGTCATACCCCGGGTTTCTAGATTTCGCGAAGTTTAATCCGCATCCACCATACACCTTCAGCATTGCCATTAGTCGTGTTGTGAATCCCCTTGTCGGGCATGATGGGGAACCCTGAAAGAATATTTAATATGGCGGAGATAAATGCATTGCGCTGTTAAATATTCTTGCTGCCATGTGTCCGAGGATCTCTCTGAGAAAGCCCCACTTAAGCCTTTCAGTAAGTTCATTGTGGTCACTTATTGATCCCAGCTTTGACTTAGCGAGCATTTAGTTCAATTATTTTCTTTTACCCACTCGTACCCATTTGCGCTGAGCTGGATTTTAGGACATGACAAAAGTGTTCAAGAGTTCTTCTAGAATACGCTGCATTAGTCAATATTAGAAGATCCTCAAAGCATTCGCGTAAGAGGCGCCTATGCCAGTTATGAAGAAAAGAGGAGATAGTCAATGGTAACTCGCCAGTTGTGCCAACATGAATCAGCTCGTTCTCCCTTTTATTGCTTCCTCATCTGTCTGCTTGAGATACCGGGTAATTTGAGTTTAAGCAAGAAATCTGCTTTCTCCTAAATTTATCTTATATTTTGTATTATCACTAGGCAAAAGGTTGCTTAAGAAGAATTTTAAATATATTATGAGATTTCGGAAGATGTGTCTAATGAATGGACCTAACTTAAAATTGTGCTTCTCTCTTTCAATAGTTCGTTCGTTCCATATTTACGTCACGGTTTTTTATGCAGAAAATGTCCGCAGGTGTTAAGAAAAATATTAAATTCACAACACTGGCGAGTCTCTAAGCTATAATTTAGGCACAGAAGCAGGAAATCTGAAATCACATTCCCCTCAAAGGCTAATCTGAATAATACAATCGAAGTTTGACTCTCATATTAGCCCTCTCTATGCCTGCCCGTCGACTTCTTATTGTCGCAAACTCCAGATTCCAACAACGCCAAAAATCGTAGAAAAGTTTCTAAGCTGGCTAGCTCAACAACTCCATAATAAGATAATAAGATCATAGAAATATTTTCGATAATGGAAACGCGGTCTAGGAGGACTAATCGGGCTAAAAAACGAGCGTGGACTTCCGCTTTAATGGTGTGAGTTGCGAATATTGAATGGAAATGGCGATAACAAGACAATGGGTAGGCTCAATGCCAACCAGTCAAATTCTGTAGGACTTCGCTAACCACCGTAGATGAAGAGGATAGCGACAGGCTTTGGGACAGGAAATAATTTTTATTTCCGATTGGCTTGCGTCAGCTACCGAGTATTGAGTTCTGTTTTCTCCAGACTGGATAAGGAAGTGAAGCTTATGGGTATGGAAGTGAACGAGTGCTATACAAAATATCTCCTGTCATCAAAAAACCAGTCATCGCATTCCCGACTCGGCTCTCACGTCATGATTTTGAAGACATAGACAATTTCGTCTATCTTGGAAACAGTATTAACATCAAAAACAATGTCAGCCTTGAAATCTAACGCAGAAACACTCTTGGCAACAGGTGCTACTTTGTACTCTGCAGGCAATTGAAAAGTAAAGTCCTCTCTCAATCAACGAAGATCAAACTCTACAAGTCGCTCTTCATGACCGTCCTGTTGCATGGTGCGGAGGCATTAATTATGACAACTTCTGATAAGTCGATGTTAGGAGTTTTCGAGAGCAAGATTTTGCTTAAGCTTTATGACCTTCTGGGTTTTCGCAATGGCAAATACCTCAGCCGATGGAAGGATGAGCTTTGCAGCGGCTACACTGGCTAGGTCCGTATGGATGAATACTCACCAACTATGAAAGATTTTGATGTAGTATCCGTCAGTTGGAAAGATCGGTTGGAGAGCGACTGGCTGCACTTAAGATTTCCAATTGGAAGGAACGGCGAGTTGTTGTGAACCCCCTATCAGCGGTGGACGTAAGTTGTGCCTAGACAAGTAATGAAGACGAAGTTTTTACATTCGAGACTTTCCACCATGTTGAGTATTCGAATTTCTGCAAACCGATTACTTATTCGTTGTTAACTACACATCCACCGACACGAGCGCGCTTCTGCGCATGTCCTTGGCATATTTCCACTTTTGACATTCGCTATCCTCTCTCCACTGTTGCGTGTGTAAATAATACAGGAAGGAAGTTAGTCTAAAATTTTTTAAAATAGTTGAATTTGTAAAAAGTAATTAAAATCGGAAAAGCGAATTACAAACATATCACTGTCTCCACACCTTATGACACCCTTTAGAAATGGCGCACAAACACAAATTAGCAATATATTTCCTCTGTCTCACGTTAGGTGCACTCCGAATAGGTAAGCGAGTAGCAAAGGGGCGGGCGGCTGTGCCTACGATGAGTTGAAAAAAAAAATCAATATGAAAACTTGTATATTTAATGTATTTTGGGTCAACGCCACCCTGCAGCTGATGGACAATCGATTTCGAATACAGTACATCGCACACAAGCTGCCACGGAGCGTATTAACGATCTTTCCTGCTACGAATGTGATACCATGGACCATGGCGAGGCGTGTGTGGATGTTACGACACACAATTTAACGAATTTCATACGCAAGTGTAAGGGTGAGGAGTTCATTTGTATGGTGAGTGTGTGATGAGGGGTATTACCAGCTATGGATTACAAATGGAATGTTGGTTAAATATTCTACTTTACTTGCAGGTGAAACGTTTCTCCTACACCACCAGCACTGAGAACTCCACAAGTGCACCCAAAATGTGGTCACTGGATCGACGTTGCGCTGTGAACTGTGAAGCTGGCTGCATTGTGATTGGCGAGAGGACAAAACTGTATGCTTGTACTTCTTGTTGCGAGAAGTCGCTCTGCAATACGGGTCGCGGACGCGCCATGACTACTTTTCAGCGCGTCGAGACCGGTATAGGTACATGGTGGTGTGCGGTGTTGTTGTTGTCGTCAATGCAGCAACGATTTTTCGCATGGAGTAATTCTCCGTTGCTGGCAGTGTAAGATTTGCGGGCAGAGGGAGAAGGAATGACGGAGAATAAAACGAAATAAATACTTGTCGTGTAGTGTGTGATGAGCCCATTTGGAAAGCTTTGGAGACTCAAAATTTTGAGCTTACCACACACTTTGCTCATAAGCCAAAATCTTATTAAAAATAATTAAGTAGTTGAAATGTTTTCTTCCTGTTCAAATCTGCAGCCAAATACTTTTGTGATATCAAAAAGGATGATTACTGTAATAAGTTAAATTACTTGAATAATTAAAATTTAGTGTTAAAAATGCTTGCCTTCAAACGAATTTATGTTGACTACACAGAGGATACCTGAGCTAAGTATAGACCTGGAAGTCCCGAACCGCTTAAACCACATGCAAAAACGCAATACTTCTCTTCCGAAGAGTTCCAAAGTCGAAACAACAGACATCGACATTACTTACTCTTTTGCGCCATCAAGCAAGACGGTAATGATGAGAGGCTTGTGGAATTTGGTTTTTGTTGGACGTCGAAAGGAATTTACTTTTCATTTGCCTACTAAGCCCAAACCTGCTTAATCTGCGTTGCATCCCAAGGCTATTATTATTATTATTAATAATGACTGCCCCCCGATAGTCGGAATTATTTATGACCTCGAAGATATGACTGCCACCGGTGATTGTTTATTTGATGACAGGAGATATTTCTTATTTGCCTCATTCCCTAACAGACTCGTTCGCTTCGTTATTAAGCCTAGAGAAAGCAGAACTCATTGGATCACGACAGTAGAAGCCTATCATCGACGTACGATTGTCACTTGTACGCTCTGTCTGATATCTCGTCCTGCTCTCCTAGTAGTTTCGATCCCCTTTTCAAGTATTTTTCAAGGTCTGACGCATGGTGAATGTCTAATCAACGTTAGATTTACCATGTCTAAGCCCACACTACAGTCGCTACAGTCGAGTGGTTAGCGTTTTGTACCGCTCGGGTTCGAATCCTGGTTCAACCAACAGTCAGGATTATAGAAAATAAATTTTTGTAATATCGTTCGCCCCTCAGCAGAGGCTGCCAAGCCTTCAGAGTATTTCTCTGACATGAAATGAGAATCTTATCATCAATTGCGATAAATTGATGAAGGAGCTCTGCCGAAAATGGCTTCAGCTGCTATAAAGTAACAATCTTAGTGACCCCTGAAGCGATTACTCGGCCGAACTCCTCCCCCCATTTGTGGTTTTGCGTCTTGTCTACAGTTTATACTAAACCACCTTCGATCGTCTGATGGTTTTTTATGATTGTCGCCGCATTTAGAAAATGTAACTTAATTTTTTATTTAAATTAATTTTCTATAAATTTTTGGATGTTAGTACGACACCAGGGTTTGAATCCGATCCTTCCGAATGGCAGTACGCAATGCTAATCACCCGGCCGCTTTTTATACAGTGGTCTTTTGTCTTTCACACAGCACTCTAGATATAACTCTATATATAATATTTGGAAGGCTTATCACAAGATAATCGGCGCAGACCGTGGGGTCCAGCTTTGCAGGGATCGAACAGAGCACATTTATATTTCAATCGTCTTCTCAATGGAATGTCTCTTTCATTACCATCGATTGGGATTTCGAGTCCCCCAACTCTTGGTTTCGCGCTTTCACTTCCAGTCAGCAGATTGGACACAAACAATATCCTCTGGGTGTCGCTCACCACTTCCTTGGTTTTTGCATGAGATTTAAAATATTATTATTGCCTTCCTTTCGGTGTATTAATTCAAATAAAGTAAATTCTTTAATTAAGTTAAATTTTTTGAATCCAAAACTCTTGTAACACATACAAACGAAATATCTCTACAGGCGCACGTGTGCGGAAATTAGACTCGTGCGCTGTTTTGATGTTGCTGATTATATCTGGTTTGTTGGCCATATGCGTGGTCACATATAGTTAATGTTGTTGTTAATCCCCACTGAAAGCTACCCAGCAGGGCGAAGGTAGACCAGCAAGCAAATATTCTAGTTAAATTGTAGTATTTTTAAGATGAAAATATACAAGTTGGTTATTCGGGTAGAAGTTCAGTTCGAAGACAAACATGGTAGTGGAAGAGAAAAAACCTTCAAAGATTTACTACGAGCTCTTAAAACCGGGTGAAACCATTACTGGAGATCGCTACCGAACGCGCCAGCAGGGCCGAGTGGTTAGAGGTTATCACTGCTGTGCAAGAAGTTTGTGGTTCGTGTCTCGCTGTAGGTAATTTATCTTTGGTGAAATATAATTTCAATATGCGCAAATTAACTAGTATTTAACTGGTATAAAACTGATGCTGAGGCATACATGTGACAGTTTGAAGGACAATGGCGTGCTCAAAATACCAGTTACTTACAACAAAAGTGCATGGAATATGCACTGGTAAGTAGAAAGCTACAAACTAGTTTGTTACTAGTTGACAACTAGTAATTTTCTCTGCAGCGCACTTATAACTAGATTCATAAATATGTATGTATGTATTAGCAGAGGAAAATCAAGTAGTTCAAAAGGCAATAAAATAACGAAAAACACTTGCTAATGCACAATTGCAATGGGGGTTGAAAGTGTATCAAACACGTTTAAAAGAGGCCTACATATATACATATATTAAGATATAATATATACATATATACAAAGTCTGGTGCTTATGTGGCCTGCTGCATGTATTTGTTAAATCCGAAAATTACAAGCCAATTTACAAAGTGCATACATTTCATTACCCAGAAGCAACTGCGAACATATGAGGGTGGTTCGTTTGAGTACCAGAGGTAGTTGGGAGAAATTAATTCACCCTTTTTCTACTCTTTTCCACTTCACTGGCTAAAATCTAAGCAAGACTGTTTTCAATAATATTAGATTCAATGAATATCTGTATTCTTATCAGGAAAGCTCGAATTATACTTTTAATATAAAAATTATACCAACATTTTGTTCTGAAATGAAGTTGCTTTCTTTAGTTGTATGGCCATTACATAACGGTTGGTCCAAGGAGAGCCCTTTGTGACAGATCCAGATCGAGCATGTCAATCTGTTATGTAAAGACTTGACAAATTTCCAAATTGTCCAACTTCATTATGAAAAGTCATGTTCTCTCACCCAACTTATGGTCAATATAATCGGCCTACTGAGCGTACTATTCGCAACACCATTACCCATTTTGAGACCCATTCATTCATTATTGGATAATATTCGACCCAATAGACCACGTCCAGCAAGTGGTGAAGAAAATCTAGCGGCCGTAGTTCATAGTGTTCACGAAGGCCGTGGAGAGTCGATACGGCGCCGTTCGCAATAACACGAACTGACGTCTAGAACGACTTGGCACATTTAATGTCGAAATCTTAAATTGAAAACGTACAAAATACAGCTCGTGCAAGAACTGAAGCCGTGCGAGTCAAACTTTTGTTTAGCGATGAGGCTAATAACTGGCACAATGGGTAAGTAAACAAGCGAAATTGCCGAATTGGGACGAAAAGCATTCAAGAGCTGCAATTTATTCAGAAGTAACGTTCTGGTGTGGTTTGTGTGCTGGTTTATACTGCTAAAAAGATTATAGGTGAGGTGCAGCCAGACCACATGGCCTTCCGCACACATCGCACCAAACAATGGATTTGTTGAGGTGAGCAGATAATTTCGCGTTTTGAGCCGGTCAATTGGTTACCAAGATCATTAGATTTTTTCCGGTGGGGATATTTAAAGTCTTCGATTCAGCCCTTGGAGCGAAACAATACGCATGTCATTCGCCAGTTACCAGTCGAATTGCTCGAACGGATCATCGAAAAATGAACTCAACGGATGGACCATCTGAGACGTAGCCGCGGCCAACATTTGAAATGAATAATATTCACAAAATAAATGCCAAATCACGTTCTTTCGAATGATAATAAACATTCCCCATTAAATCTGAATTTCGTGTTTTTTTGTTCCTTAAAAACTAAGGAGTCTCGAAGTTGATCATCCTTTACATATTATTCTACATACACGTAATTGGAAGATTGTACAAATTTTCGAATTGTTTTTCTTAATTATTTTTTGACGTTTTGGGGAAAATGCGTAAATTTAAATACAAAAATAATAATTCTCATAATCTTACGGACCACCTTAATATAAACACAAACAAAAGTTTCAAAAACACTTATTTCCAAATATAATTTATATATATATATATATAAATGTATGTAAGTCCAAAAAACAACCAAAGGTGCTTGGACCAGAAGGACCTTCAGTGTACTGTTCGCTTGAGAGCAACGTTAAGATAATAATTGAGAGCCAGGAGAGTGTCAGCAAGCTTTTTTGCTAAGGGAAGCACCATGAGGGATAAGGAGAAGGGCCATTTCATGAAGTGCTAATATGTCAAACAAGTGTTTATTGTATATATATATAAACTTATATGTGTTTATGTGAGTGCTGGAATATGCACTCGAATTTCCACATACTCACATCAATATACACACAAAACTACATACATCAGCGTACTCTCATAAATTTGTTCATGCGGTTTAAGAAAATCTTTGACAATAAAAAGTGGAGAATTGAAAAAGAATGTTAATAACTCCATCTAGAAAGAAATTAACGCATTTAAAAATTAAAGCAAAAATCCAAAACTAGTATAAAATGTTGAGAACAGGGATCACTGCTTCCTCCGAATGAACAAAAAAACATTTTTTCGCTGCTGCATGCCCAGCGGTTGCTGTCCTTACACTTGGCTTGGCCGAACTCATACAAATTCATAACCGACCACAGCATATGAGTGAAACATTTACAGAGTGATTTCTAAGATAATAAAATTCTATTGCCTTCAGTGTGATAAAAATGGGCATGTATATGTGCGCCCACAGTTGAATTTGTGTGTTGTTTAAGTTAATGGCCACAGATATTGGAAAAGGCAGTTAGTCAGTGCTTTCGCCGAAAATAACAAGTGCAATAACGCTGTGATTTTTTGTTAAGCTACTCTTCTGATTTCTTTATGTTCTACCAACAAATGGGAGAACCTACAGCTTATACTAAGCCGTCTCCGAACGGCCGATAGATTTTTATGGGAAGCTTCTCAGATTATGCCAGAAATACACTCGATGGGATAACCAGAAAGAGGTAGAGAGGCAACGGCAATTAGAAAAATTATTATTCTTTAAATTGTAGATGTTTGTCTGACCCTGCCTTTCGAGTATCAGTACGCAAGGCGAACCATTCAGCTGTTGTGGCCCCGACAATAACGAATCGAAATAGGAACCTCTATTATTAACTGATGTCTAGAATATGTAAAGAAC